TACGGCGCCCTTTAACCATTGTTTCTACAGTTTTGTTCCTAATTTGTTAGGGTATACGTTCTTTAAGTACTGTACGCTCTTTCTCACATCCCAAATATATTCTTATTTCTACACGTAAATTCAGTGCTCACCCTTTATCTTTATGTCAAGCAACGCCATTCCAGCCATTATGGTTTGCCCCAAGATAATCGTCTGGTAGATTTGGAAGTAAGGCTTCATAGCAACGATATTTTTAAAAACATGTTCCAGTGTTTGTCATTCACGGCCAGCTTTCCCAGATGCTCAGTGAATCCTTTCAGCCTTTTAATTTTGCCATAAAATTTTCTTCAATTATATTTTCGAACATTTATTCTTTTCCCTTGCTTTGATTTCTTCTTTGGTGAGGCTTACTATATTTACATGTCGAATCTTCTTTGCCTGTCTTCTCTATTTGCTCTTCCTCTTGAATATTTTTTTTTGTCACTTTTTTCGTTTGTTTGATTTTCCTCCTTTTCCTTTTAGGACAATCTTACAGTGCTTATTCGCTTTTGTATTTCTTCTAGTTTTTTCTTCATGTACGAAGTGATTCTTTTCTGAATTCTGTTACCTGGTTTCTTACTTTCTCTGGTTCTTATTTATGTTGTTTTATCAATTCTTTATCATTTTTAATTAATTTTGAAGTATTAGGCTGTCGTTGCCATCTGTTTTATAAGCATGTCTTTCTGGTGTCCTTTTATTCTCTTCGGGGAACTTACCTGGTTTCTTATTCTCTATTTTTAAAAAGTATTAACTCTCTTTAAGATTTAACATAAATCGTTTCCGTTATTTGTTTTTACATTAAGTTAGTTTCCCAAGCTTTAAGAACGGAGGTGTCAATACTGTATGGTTTTACCAATTTTACAGCTCTCTAGTGCCACCTTCTGTCGTTTCTATGAAAAGTTAAAATACATGGACGCTTCCTTTCTGAGACCTTCTGACCTGTCTCCGCACTGGACCCTGTTTTATCTGAATCCTCTTTTTCCTTCGAGTGCTTTGTTCATGAACTGCTTAAACTTCTATCACTCTTAGGGATTCCATCCTAGTTGTTCTGTGTGGGTTTTCTTTTAAACAGAAAAACATTAACATTTTCTCTGGACCAATGAAGATATGATTTGTTTGTTCTTTAAATATTCAGAGCTTTAGCAGTCTTTGTCCTTTAAGTTCTTGCCATGAAGTAATCTTGTCATCTTTTCACGAGATGTCAACAGCTGTCAATAGGATTATCAGTATTTTCAATCTCGTTAGGACTGTTTTAAGCTAACTAGATTAAAAGTATGCATAGGACCATCAACATTTATAAATAGCGCATGGTGATAGTATTCAAATTAGAATGTCTATTTCCCTTGATTTAGATATTCCTGCTTCGGGATTCTATCTTGTAGGAACAGAAGTATTGTTGTAGCCGCCAGCCCCCGAAAGACACACGGACCACCAGAAATCAGTAAGTTATAGGAAACATACTCTTTATTCAGCCAGCTAGGTCTGCCAGGGGTACGCAGACCCCAAATTAAGCAGCCCCAAAATGTAGAGGTACAGGGTTTTAAAGCCTTAAATCCCATTCCTCATTCTGTCTTAAACACAAAGGTCTATTTTTCTCTTATTCACTACCTGTCAACCCACAGGTCGGCAAGCGGGGGTACAGAAGCAGAAAGCTTATTGTTAGAATGTTATGTTCCCGTGGGTGATAGCCTATGTTCCCATGGGCGATAGCCAAGCAGTAATTTTCCAACCAGCACAGTATCGGTATGGAGAAATATATATATATATATAAAGATAGAAAAGCAACATCATCGGTCTGCTAAAAAGTTGAAAGAAAACCCCTGTATGTCCATAATTGGGGAATAACTGAATCATTTATAGAACATCTATGCTATAGATTGATTATGCAGTTATTAGAATGAATTAGAGCTACATCAATTAACCTGGAGAAACATCCCTAATCTCTTTTGTTTCGGGAAACTTTCCCAAACTTAGAAACACAAAGAAAATTGATTACGTGATTTAATGTTATGCTACATAGTGCTTTCTAACAAGTCAGTCTGCGTGTCTCCTGGGTATATAACTTGCCTTATGGTTCATAAGCGGTTAAGGCCCAGGCATTACACGTCACTGTCAAGCTAGAGGCTAACTTGTAGAAACTTGTAGAACCCCAGTGCGACATGTGCTGTGGACTGAGCTGTGACCCTCCCCCCCCACAACACACACACCAAATTCATATGCTGAAGCCCCACCCCACCCTCAAGTGACTGTCCCTGGAGACAGGCCCTCTGGGAGGTAGTAATTAAGTCAGGTCGTTGGGTAGTCCGGTGGAACTGGTGTCCTTGTGAGGATAGGAAGAGACCCGCTCCCCTCCCCACCCCACCCCCAGGCACAGAAGAGCCCAGGCTAGGGAGCCAGGCGGAGGCCAGTCTGCAAGCCCTGGAGAGGGGCCACACCCGACGCGGTCCCCGAGGCACCTTCACCGTGGCCGTCCAGCCTCCGGCACCACAAACAAGTGCATTTCTGCCGTTTAAGCGCCCAGTCTGCTCTGTTCTGACAGCCCACGCCCAGTGATACTACGTGATGATTTTTTTTTTTTCCTGTTTGGTAGACTTTCACCCCAAAGGTTGTGATTTCCTTTCTCTCTGGGACATGGGTCACTTTTATATTTAATCTAGTAGTAACTCACAGCAATCCTTTTGTCACTGTTTATATAGATGCACATAAGGTTCCCTGCACACTCGAAGTGAGTGTGTTGGCATCCTGCGGGTTTCCACATCTGACAGTTCAAGTACTTTTCGGATGTACGCTCCTTCCTAGCTGCATGGGAATTCTGTTTCCGCTCATTTGAGCACTAGGTTGTTTCCGCTCCTTTAAAAATTGTGGTAAAATGCACTTAACTTAGAATGTGCCATTTTGATCATTTTAAAGTATACCGTTCAATGGCAGTGATGACATTCGCAGCGTTGTATGACCATCCACACGACCCATGTCCAAGACTCTCATCGTTCCGCACGGAAAGTCTGTATCTGTTCAGCAGCAACTCGGTTCTTCCCGCAGCCCCTGGGGACCTCCGCGCTCCTTTCTGCCTCTGTGGGTGGGCCCGTTCTAGGCAGCTCACATCAGTGGACTCTGCAATACCTGTCCTTTGTGTCTGGCTTATTTCACCGAGCATGACCTCAAGGTCCGTCCATGCTGTAGCCTGTACAGAACTTCCTTCTTTTTCATGGCTGCATAGTATTCCCCCATAGGTAGATACCGTGTTCCGTTTATCCGTTCATCAGTGTTGGGCACTAGGGTTGTTGCTGTCTTTTGGCTCTTGTGAATAATACAGCTATAAACATCAGTGTGCAGGCACCTGTTTGAAACTCTGTTTTCCATTCTTTTGGATGTATACCTAGCAGGGGAATGATCAGGCCTATGGCAATTCTGTTTAGCTTTTTTGAGAAACCACTGTGTATTTTTAAATAGATTCTTTATTTTTTAGAGCAGTTTTAGGTTCACAGCAAAACTGAACAGAAAGCACAAACACTTCCTATGTGCACCTGGCCCAAGACACACACACACACACACACACACACACACAAATGGTTATTTGGAAATAAAGTCACCTAAAATGGTTAATTTTTTATTTGCATTAATAACTATACTATGGGTTACTCCCAGAAAATAAAGGACCTAAAAACTAACCATGCAAATTAAGCAATAATAAATGCTACGCTGACATTTCCACCTAAATTTTGGTAATTGAAAACAATATTTTTAGTATTAAAGATTCTCCAGTCCTAATGTTGAAAAGTTAGTAAGTTATCTGATTCTCGCCAACTTGACGAATTCTTTTAGTGTAGTTTTTAGTAGTATCGACACGCATCAATTTCTCAACTTTACGTACTTAAAATTACCACCCGGAAATTTAGATTTTTCCAGAATGCCTTCTATTCAAACTAATTGATTGCCTTTTAACAGTCAGTCTAAGTGCTTTCGAAAAAGTGGAAAAACACAATTCAGATTTCGTTCCTTTTGTCAACATAAAATTATCCACATACTACAAAACGGTGCCATGTAGGCAGGTGAGCCCCTTACGGAGGGCAACAAAGGCCACGCAAACGATCTGACTCGGAGGAGTTCTGTGAGAAACGCGCCCGCGCTGAACAGAAACGTCTGCCGTCAGAATCACCCTTTTGCGATGCCACGTCGCTCTCAGAATACATTTGCTAAGATGTAAATGTCCACTAGGAAGAGGGACCGTATGGATCCCGGGCCTTCTTAACTGTCTCCACAGTTTTGTCCATTCTGGAATGTCATACGGTTGGACTCGTACAGCATGTGCTTCTTCACACTGGCCTCTTTCACTGAGTAGTGCACATTTAAGCTTCCTCTGCGTCTTTTCGCGGCTCTGTAGCTGGTTCTTATTAGTGCTGGATAACATTCCACGGTGTGGATGTAGCAGCGTTTACCATTCACCTACGAAAGGACAGGACTCCACGTTTGGCGGTTATGCACGAAGCTGTTAGGAACATCATGAAGATGCAGCGCCCTGAATGGGATTGGTGCCCTTGTTAACGAGACCCGGAGAGCCCCTGAGCCCTCTGCCCTCTGAGGACACAGTGGATCATGAAGGGTCCTCACCAGACACCATATCTGCCAGGGCCTTGATTCCTTGGCCTCAAGAACCGTGAGAGAAACATTCCTGTTCTTTAGAAGCCACCCAGTCTATTTAACTCCAGATGGAGAATGACTGGGCCATGCGGCTATTCTGTTTAGTTTTTGCAGGAGCCTCCAAAGGCTGAGGCCACTGACAAACTGTCTCCCAAAGAGGCTGCACCACAGTGCATTCCCCCATATAATTTTATCCTAGTGTAATAGATATTCACCTTAAAATCATTTTAATGATCATCCTATGATATCGCCGTGCAACAAAAGTATGGAAATGAATGAAAATTTTAAGTGTTAAACATTTCTTATCGATGAAAATAGATTAAATGATTAAGTCGACTCTTTGATTAAACCAATACAATGTATTTACTACACATTTTAATGAATAACTTATGAAAAGTAGAATTACCCATTTCAATGAATAATTTGCGAAAAGTAGAATTTTCTAGAACTCTCTCACTTAACAGTGTGGAAAGTAACTGTAAAACCAGCTCATGAATGAATCTTAGGATGAATATTATTATTTGCCGGGATGGGCCAGATTTCCCATTTCTCCCTCGTTCGGTTTTACGGGTGGGGATGGTGAGAAACACCGGTTTACATACATAAGCAGACGAAAGCAGAGGGAGTTTTGTTTAACGCTGTCTCGCCATCGTTTTGAACTCTGGGAATTCTATGCTAGAAGTCACATAGGGGTCTGTATTTGTTTCCCGGGGCCGCTGCAGGAAAGCACAGTGCACTGTGGGGCTTTATCTCAACACGAATTCTTCGTCCCACCGTTCCGGAGTCTGGACGTTTGAAATCAAGCCACGCTCCTCGGAGGGCTCCGGAGGGACATCCTTCCTTGCCCCCTCCGGCTTTCGTCGTTTGCCGGCGCCCCAGGCGTGCCTTGCGTCATGGATGCACGACACACGGCCGGCTTCTCCCTGCGTGTCGTTGTTTTCTGCGTGTGTGCGTCTGTGTCTGTGGCCCAGCTTCCCCCTTCCGCAAGGAGAGCAGTCTTGCTGGATCGGGGCTCGCCCTGATGACCTCTTTTTAGCTCCATGACCTCTGGAAAGACCTGATTTCAACATAAGGTCGTATTTAAGGTACTGGGGTTAAGATCTCAAAATAGATGTTTTGGTGGGGAGACAATTCAACTCATAACATCATCTATTATAAAAAAAAATGTGTTAAGGACCTATCAGCTGACAGCCTAATTGGGTCTTCCTTCAATTTTGTGGAAAACGAAGAATTGAAAAAAGTTCCTATTGTAAATGATACTATAAATGAAGCCACTTTAAAATGGAGCCAGGGCTGCCCCTCCAGAGGACCTGCATTGCACGTCTTAGGCCTCGAATCCCTGCAGTGTCAAAACCGGGCAAGGTGACCTTTGGACTGAGCCGAGGCATCATCAAATCCCAAAAGACCGTTTGCAAAGATAACAAGAAAGCGGATATTATGACTACTAGACTGCTGACAACCGGATACAAATTAAAACCATCACTCAGAATCAGCATCACTCTTTTATGTTATTGGCACCGATAGCAATGCCTTCTATGGATGTCATTGTCCCCCTTCCCTTCTGATAAACACACCATGGCCTTTGTGTCTTCATCCGAACACTGAGTCAGTGCTTCCCAAATAGCTATTCTTACTGATCTCAAATAAATGCTGTTGCCCCTCACTTCAAAGGGCCTTTTTATTTTTAAGTTAGCACTAGCCATTCGTTTACATGAAAACTGACACCAGTATTTCAAATCGTCCTTCTCCCGGGCACAGGCCAGCCTTCTGTTTTACATTGGGAGGAGGGTGGCTGTGAACGGGCAGCGTCGCCCTGAGGACTTTACAGTCGGTTTTCGGAAAGAGCACGACTGAGGACCTGGAAACCGAGCCACGCTCCATGGGTCACCTTCTGAGAAACGTGACATTAGGTGACTTCGTCGGCGTGTGCACATAGCAGAGTACACACACACAAACCAGGTGGTCCAGCCTGCCACACACCTACGCATGACCCCACAACCTCAGGGCATCACTCAATGACAGGAAGTTTCCAACTCCATTATCACTCACGGTCCCTTGTTGACCCAGACGTCACACTATGTGACCCGTGACAGCACACAAGGAACAAGTACACCGGCCGCAGAGACAGTAACTTAGCAGTTAAAACATTACCTCTTCCTTGGGATAAAATATTTTTTAAAAAACGTTTTGGGTACTTTGATGAAAAAAGTAACACTTCACGTGCAAATAACTTCCTAGTATCAGAACTGGATATTAAGGACAAGTCATGGAAATGATGTTAATGGCGATTGTAATGGGATGCTGCCCATGGCTGCCATCATTTAAATAAATTACAGTACTGTTGACGCAAGAGCATCCAGCCGCAGAAAAAATTCCTCATATGACTTAACTCTTAGAAGAGTTTCCTCGAGCCAAACTGACGACGACTGCCGGGAAGCAAAATCTCAGCGGACTGAGAAAACGCTCTGGAGATGGCGGTTTTACACATTAGATTCAGAGGAGGAGCCGTAAGGAAGGTTCCACGACATCTGTTGGTGATGGGTTAGGGAGGAGAGAGAAAGCAAAGCGGGGAACTCTCTGGGATTGGATAAAACATAGAGGCGTAGACTTCTTTGACGGCGGTGGGTGCGGGAGAGTTCACAGGTCCGGCACACAGAGATGGCGTGCGGGGGACACGGTGACGTGGTCTCGTGCTCGGGAGCCGAGGGTTGTGCCTTCAAGGAGTCTGGGAAAGAAAATTGCCCTGACATTTCGAAGGTATGTTATCTCAGACGCACAAAGACAACAGACGATTTCAACATTAGAGACCGGCCTTCGTCAAGGAAGCTACAGGCCTAGGACGTGCCTACCTGCCAGGACTTGCTTTTAGTCAGGAATTTTTGCCTTTGGTCCACCCTGCATGGTTACTTTGGTGTCTGGGTTTGGACGGCCTGCATGCTGGCCTCCCCTGGGCTTGTCCGGTCTCGTATATGGCCCGTTTTTCCTCCGCAGCACCATCGATATTCTGTGGTCTGGAGAAAGAATGGGGTCAGCTTTGAGATATAGTGTTGAATGGAAAAGAATAAATGTCCATTTGCAGAAAAAGGACAGATGCTTTTCCATGAGAGAATGTTCTGGAAAGAGGGACGAGAAATAGAACAGTGGCTCCTCTGAGGCCACCTGGACGGTGGGGGGTGGGGTGGCGCCAAGGTGCTCTCACAGACCGGTTTCCCGCTCTCCTTCAAGGTCATCACGTCTCCCTGCCCGCACCTATTTTGCAATCCGAAAACGACTGAAAAACACATAAAAACGAGAGCAAAATAAAAGAGCCGAACTCTCAAAGGTTATGCGCCAACGCCATAAAGAGCTGCTATGGTATTATACGAAAATAATTAAATTAGTAAAGCAGAACGTAGACGGCTCCGAAATTAGTTACGAATCACCAACAGCTATTTGCGCTGAGAACATTAATGTATTCCAACCAGCTGTTTTTTTCCAAGTCCGTGGAAAAAGAAAGTTAAAAGAATTCATAAGCAAAATGCTCAGGAATATTTTACTTATACATTTTTAGACTGTATGTCTTTCAGTAACCCAGTAAATTCACATTAGGATTAATTGATTCTTCTATTTAGGACGCCTCCCTTCTTGATAGATGGTCTCTTTTTTGCGCGTCTTCTCATCTTTTTCTTGAGTAAAACCAATCAGGTTTGCTAACAAGTTAACATCAGAAAGTCTTTCGTCTCGATTTCGGGCTAGGGGTGACTTAGGGGTGACTTGCCTCGTGCATTTGGTGACCCTCCTTGTTTCAATGTTCACTCGATCTCTACTTCTCCCTTGCCTGGACGGCTCAACAGCCTCCAGGAGTCTATTCTGGTGGCAGAATTAATGACAGAGGATCGAACCGGGACAGGAGTCCGGGGGGCCTGTGAGGGGAGCTCTCGTTCCACAGCGAAGTGCTCCGGGTTTGACCTCCGCCCCCGCTCTCCCCGCCATCCCCCCATAAAAGAACCTCTTCCCCTTTGCTTTGCCCAGACTTGCACGAGGCTCCACGTGGCAGCAATAACAGGACTGGAATCCTTTCTTTCCTCCCAAATCCTTTATTATTATTATTATTATTATTATGAACGGCTAGTTCCCCATATAGACCAATTTGGAATAGGGCTCAAGGATGCCTGGCTGACTTTTTGTTTCAAGTCAACACCTGCTACCTTCCAGCCATTCTCCTGGGGTCCCTAAGATAAGCTCAAGCCTCGCCTGTCCTGCCGCCAAGGACAACGGTCCCCTCACGCAGAGCTCACGTTAAACGTTACTCCCGCAGAGAGGCCGTGGGTGGCTGGCCTCGGTCCCCATCGCAATCCTCGATGGGGACGCCCCTTCGCTTTCTCCGTAGCACGCACTCAGTGTGATTGCTTCATGCACTGCGCTCACCCGTCTGTCGGCCGTTTCTAGTCTAGTGCGGGCCATACGTTCCGTGAAGGCAGAGGCCGCCTCTGACTTGTGCCCTGCATTTCCCTTAGCACGTGGCATGACAGAGACACTCCGTTGATGTTTGTGGAATGAATGAGCAACACAGAGCTTCGTAAAAGTTCCACGCTCTGCTAATAACGATGATTAATTTTCGTTTCCACCACTAAGCGTTAGTTGATAAAACTTTTCCTACTTATCGAGCTTGAGAACTCTTTGGACTTTGATTTCTTACCCAAGTTTTAGGGGCAGAAGCAAGATAAAGTGCAATGCTTTACATAGTTGCATAGTAGTCCCCGCTGTATGCACCTCCTCTTAAAATCTTTATCTGACAACGGCAAAATGAAGACGATGGCTCTATTCCCAGGGGCACTTCTATTTTCTTAGATATGACCCGTTCCGTTCAGAATCTCACCTTCACTTCTATGCCACATTATAAAAAGATTAGCAAGACATAGCTCTTGTGGATGATATCAACGTTTTTTTAAAAAATTGTCATTTATTTATTATTATTTATGCCTACAGCACCTGGTCCTCCTAGGTGGTCTCCCAATACTAACCAGGGAAAGAAAATTGCTTAGCTTCCGAGATCAGCCAGGATCGGGCTTGTTCAGGGTGGCATGGCCGTAAACGACATAAACGTTTTAAAATTATTCTGTGGAAAAATAAAGTGGAAAGATATTGGGACATCAAAATAGTAACAATGCAAAACAATAATGAGATACCACTATGTACCTATTTATAATGGTGAAAGTCTAAAACACCCACCCACCACACCCTGGGAGGATGTGGGACCACAGCAACCTTGTTCATGGCTGGTAGAGACGCAGAAGCCCTCTTTGGAAAACAGTTTGGCAGTTTCTTACAAAACTCAAGTACTAAATAGGATCCAGCAATCGTGCTCCTTGGTATTTACCCAAACGAATTGAAAACATATGTCCACACAAAAACCTGCACGCGGATATTTACAGCAGTGGTATCCACACTTGCTAAAACTTGGAACGACCAAGACGTCCTTCGTCGTTAGGCGAATGGATAAACTGAGGTGCGTCGGATGAGACGACATCATTTGGCGGTAGAAATAAATGAGCTGTTGAGTCAGAGAAGATGTGGAAGAAACTTAAATGCTTTTACTGCTTAGTGGAAGAAGCCACCCTGACGTATGATCCCAACTATACGACATTCTGAAACACACAAAACTATGGACACGGTAAAAACGTCAGTGGTTGCTACGAGTTGGGGCGGGGGGCGGGCAGAGAGGGGGGTGAGTAGGTGGGACGCAGAAGATTTTTAAGGCAGCGAGACTGTCCTGAGTGATACTGTGATGGTGGCTCCATATCACTATACATGTGTCAAAACCCATCGAATGCACGACACCCAGAGTGAGCAGTAAGGTAAGCCACGGACTTTGTGTGAGTTTGCTGGGCCAGCATAGGTTTGTCCGTTGCCACAAACGCACCACTCTGCTGCAGGATGTAGTAAGCCGTGCGTGGGGCCGGGGTACATGTGGGAACACTTTGTACTTTCTGTTCAATTTTGCTGCAAACCTAAAAGTGCTCTAAAAAATAAGATCTGTTGGAAAAAATGTTGACAATAGTCATCCTTGGATGCAAGGATTATTGGTATTTTTTTCCTTTGTACTTTTTAGGTTTTCCGAGGTTTTTTTTTGAGGGGGGCACTGAGGGGTCACTGAGTGGATTTATAACCTATGAGCGTAGAAAAATATTGAGAAAGATAAGTAGGCTAAATTCAAAACCATTAAACCTGCTTTATTTTAATCTCTTAGTAGCTACCCAGTACAAAAACTCAAAAAAAAAAAAAAAAAAGTTGACAATATGAGATTTTTGCCTTTAAATAGGCAAAAATTAAACCTTAAATCATTATTTTCAGCTTGTTTTTTTTTTTTAAGACCATATAATGTAATTGCCAGAAAGGACCTTCCATAATCAACTAATATAACTTTTTCTTTTAAAATTTGCCTCTACTTTCCACTGAATACCTCTGAAGCTTAGAAGGCGCGTGGGTGGGCACAGCTGCCTGGGAGAGAAAACGAGGAACACGGTGGGCCCCCAGACTCCAACATGGACCAGGGACAAAGAGCAGAGAGCAGTCTTTGTTGAGAACACAGTGGCAAACACATTTTGTCATTTAATAAACAAGCCACGGCACTGAGAGAAAGGGAACGTTCACGGTAAGCTGGAAAGGTGAGACAGTGTTATTTGGAAGGCACTGGGACCCCAAGGGATGAGAAGACTCTCAGGGGAGAGAGGGGGCACGTTATGGACAAGCCTCTCGTTTCACTTAGAGGAAACTGAGGCTCAAAAAGGTGGAGGGTCACAAAGCTAGCGAACGGCAGAATCGGTATCAACGTCAACTCTGGACTCATTCTCCAAATCATCACATTGCTTTTCCGGAGACAGTCCAGTTGCAGAAACCATACAGCATGCTGCTGGGAAGGAATGACTATTCATGCATTTACGGCGAACGGCAATGTAAATCCCTGCTTTTTATTTTTTTTATTTTTATTTTTTTTAATTTTTTTTCCAACCTATAGTTAATTCCGGATGACTCTCAGTTTCCGATATCATCGTGTGTTTTTACTTGTTTTAGAACTTGAATTTATCTGTGATTTGTTTTCTCATAGAAGCATGTTTTTCAAACCACAGTTTGTAAGCCACGAAATCAGTTTGGTGGGTTGGAACCAGTGTAGGAAAAACAACAACGCAGAAGAAAACAACAGTAGAAGAAAACACTATAGACCAGATTTAGGCAGACTAGAATAGAAAATATTAAAATCCACCAGAGGTAGTAAAAGAAATAATTCTACAATGGAATTGTTTTTGAGTTATGTAATGATGCATGGAGGTGGGTTTGTCCTGCGTGTCCACATGTAATATAGCTCTTAGTGATTGTCATGGTCAAAAAAACTTGATAAGCCACTGCTCTAGAATGTATAATTTTGTGTGGTTTTAAGTTACCTAAGATGATATGTTTAAGAGGTAAATTTTAGGAATTAGGAGAAGAGTATCCTGGAGAGGAAGCACGATGAGGAAGCATGAAGGATCCTAGGGCCATGCGTCCCTTTCCATTGCTTGCTAACTATGTGACCTTGGATAAGTTCTTTAACCTTTCTTGGCCTCAGTTTCCTCGTCTGTAAAAGTGGGACAGTAATATTAATTACTTCATAAAGTTGTTAAGAGGGTAATGAGTTATTATTCACAATGAACACAGAACAAATTCCTTCTCCTACAGAAAAGTTTCCTCAGTGCGTCAATGGTTAAAATATCGCATTTTTTTTCTTTTCAATGGCAAAAGTTAAAACACTAGTCTGCATAGCTCTCCAATCTGCTCAGCCCCAAACAATTGTTTTATCTGAACTCCTACTCTTCTAGCATTCATACTGAGAGGATGAGATAGATTATACTAAGCTCCTTCCTAAGGAAAAAAATAGACTGATTTGAAGTACATTTCTTCCAAGATGTGACCTGTATATTGCAATTATCATTACTATTGTTTTTTGTATTATACACTAGCTCAGTATTTATGGTAGAGAAATCGATATGCTTCTTTTCCTTATAAAACATTATAAAGAATTTTTCTAATGTTCCACTGTCACTTATTAATAGTAAAAATAGCTAATATTTTTCAAGGTCTTTCCAAGTGTGAAGTGCAAGTTTTATATGTGTATGATCATTTAATCTGCCCTAAAAATCCGTGAGAGTGAAACCATTATCCACATTTTACACAAGTTAAAACTGAGGCTTAGAAAGTTAACACATGTCTAAATTCACCTCGCTTGTTGCAGTGGAGCCGGAATTCAAATTTGGGCAGTCAAGCTCCTAAGCTATTTTCACAATAACTGCTACATTGCATCTCGATTACTGGTGAGCTCTTGGTTTCCATAAGTAAAAGTGTACCCAACATTTTAAAAAATGAGATATAATTGACGTGTAACATTATATTATTATTTTTAGGTCCACAATATATTTGATATATGTGTAAATTGGGAAGCAATCACCACAATAAGTCTAGTTAATATTCATCATCACACAGTTACAAATTTTTGTGTGTTGAGAATGTTTAAGATCTCTTTTAGCAACTTCTAACATTTTTATATAACTTTCACAGAAGTTGTTTCTTAAAACAATGCTGCATTACTTTATTTTACAAATGACTAAACTGAGGCTCAGAAAAAAGGTAACTCGCGCAAAGTTTCGAGCAGCCAAACAAGTATTTGAAACACAAGTCTTCTGCTCAAGTCTTCACGTTGTCTTCCTGTCACGCTTGGTATGCTTTTATGATTAGTACAGAATAACTCCATGTGTGTGCACATACACATTCTTTTAGTAACGGCTTTATCGAGTTATAATTCCGTCCTATACAATTCACCCACTTTAAGTGAACAATTTGATGGATTTTAGTGTATTCAAAGTTGTCCAACCACTAATCTACTTTCTGTCTCTGTAGATTTGTGTAGTCTGGACAAGTGACGTAAAGGGAATCACACAAGTGTGGTCTTTTGTGTCTGGTTTATTTCGTGTAGCATTATGTCTCCAAGGTTCTTCTATGTTATAGCCTGTATCAGGACGTGTTATGGCTGAATAATATTTCGTCGTATGGATATACCACATTTTGTTTATGCATTCGTCAGCGAATGGATATCTGGGTTGGTTCTACCTTTTGGAAGTTATAAACAATGCTGTTATGGGCATTCAAATATTTATTTTTAAAAACTTTAATATAAATTGTGTCGTTAAAAAAAATGACACGTGTTTTTCCCCCAGTTCTAAAGTTTCAGCGACAATTCCCTGTGATATGCAGGCAATCCAGTGCACATTTTCATAGACAAATGGATGTTAACGGAGGAGCACAAAATGTGAACACATACTACTGTAATTCTTCTTTTTTGTTAATAAAATCGCAATAATGTTAGGGAGATAGCAGTATAGAGCTTCCTCACATTGAACAGCATGTGGCGATCCAGTCTATTATTTAAGTCAATGACAGAGCTTATTTGGGAGTATGTCTACTCAAGCCTTCTGACTATAAACAATGAGCCGAAGCTATTCCAATGATAAATGTGGCAACAGAAAAGGGATGGTGTAGGTTTTCACGGACTATTACGATGTTGCATTTGGTAATAGCCGGCGTTTCTGTTGTGAAGATGGTGCCAATAAAATGTCGATGTAAAACCGAACTGTGTATTATAAAGTCCTACCAAGATATTGCATTGTATTGAGAACTGAAAAAATTTAGAATTATGAAATATTTGCTAAAATAAGTGATACTATTTTGAGAATGCTGGTTGAAATACTTGTTGGATATTCTTCAACTTAGAATATCTTTATTGCATTTCGCCACAGGCGGAAAGAGTACTCGATTTTTAAAAATTCATCATTAATTAATCTCAATTTCTCCTTGGTCTGTGTGGCGTCTGTAGTGTGTAACGTCAGTCTTTACTGAGACCTTGATGGATGATCACCTTCATCACGAACTTCACGTTCATCATCACCTGGCTGAACGTTCAAGGGGAACATCACACGTCTGTTTATTTGCAGGCAGTGGTGGGGAATGGTGGGATTGAGAAGGCTCATTTATCCATCCATTTCCCAGCGCCATCGCTGTCATCCCGCCAACAGCCGCTAGGGCGGGACGGGCGGCCCGGCTCCTCCTTCCGCGGAGTCCGGGAATCGCACCCGCAGTGCGTGCGCCCGAGACGTCGGGGTGGACGGGGAACAAAAGAGGAGCCCGCGGCCGGTGGGCTGCTCCCCGCGGCGACTGGGCTACTGTGGTCCATCGGCCGCGGAGAAGCAGACGGTGGAGGGCGGCGGGG